TCGCAGAGAGTATTCAGCTTTCGTCACGATAAAGAGACTAGAGAGGCGTTATTAACCATTGCGACCGCGATTAGTTTCACTCTACAAGACGGCTCACAAACGGAACTTCATGCTCACATAGCCCTGCCTGGAGCGTCGTTGGTGATTCCCTGTGCTGGGGGTCCTGCTGCGAAAGGCTAGAGCGCAGAGAAATAAAGAACTGCACCTGCAAAAGCATCGAAAGATGCAAAAAACAAGTCGCGAGACTGGGGTGAGTGAATCACCTAGTGCCAGAAAAGTTGTAATGTGAAAGGTCAGATTGGTTACAGAACGTCATGCAGACGTGAGAGCGCAGAGAAAAACAGAAAGTTGGCGCTAATAAAGGGATTGAGTGTTAGTTGTCCGTAGACCGCCCCGAAATGCAAGCCTCTGTTTCTCTGCGCTCTGGTTTACGCGCTTGGCCTCCACAAAAAGGGGTAAACCAAAGAGAATCGCAATTCGCCGCGCTGATAGCCGTCGCCTGCAACGTCGCACCAGCAAATGACATCGTCCAGGTTAGGTGGCGACAACAGGCAATGTAGAACTAAAAATATCCATAAATGTCTACAATTTCGTAGCCCATGTGAAAGCCGATGTTCAGTCGATCATTCGATACTAACTAGAGTTAAGAAAACGCCGCGTCCATCGCCGGCGCGGCGGAGCGGGTCTTACGGTTCTCTTAGCCGCCTCCTCACCGAAAGTCGTAGTTATCACCTAACATGTTATAGGGCTTTAGTTGCATCGCTGATTGAACGGCCCTTCCCGCCAATTGTTGCGGACTCGGATAGCATCGATGAAGGCCGTCTTGGCAGCGCCCCAGTGTACGCCTGTCGCACGCCCTATCGTTTACAGGGACCAGTACCGCAAGCATCACCACTATGCGTTTTGAAAGGAATAGAGAGATTTAAGTAAGTGGACCACCCATCAATTGTGGAAAATTGGAATGTACAGAAAGGTTCATCCATCCCCGTGAGCTTCTACCCCCTCCCCTCCCCGTGAAAGTCCTCTTATAAGTACCATGAATGCCGACGGAACATTGCGAATTGCTGCCTTCCGAGGCTCGAAAATGAAGATCAGTCTTCACAATAGTCTCCCAACGAGTTCGTTCTTTGCACAAAACCTCACCCTGCTTCGTACCCTTAGTTGATATCACTATCTCTGTGTACTGGTTACAGTGGTAGTACAATCGACGCGATAACATGTATCATTACCTGGAGCGCCTACAGCAGTCATGGTTGAAGCTGCTCCACCAGCAGGAGCACCGACGGCAGTCATCGTTGATCCTGGACCTCCCATAGGAGCACCAACTGCGGTCATTGTAGAACCTGGACCTCCGGCAGGGGCACCAACTGCAGTCATTGTAGATCCTGGACCAACAGCACCAACTGCGGTCATCGTTGAACGTCCACCTGAACCAATCGTTCATTTTCTTCTGAAATACTTTGGTGAACGTGTTTTCCTTGTTGGGTCCCGTTCATACTCCACAACTCGAGGGATTCGATCGCGCGGCTGCCTGCTATCGCGCCCCATCAGCAATCTTTAGACCGCTGCAACGACTATACAAGGTTATATCTTGAATGTGATCGGATTTGCAATTGCAGCGACCCAGCCATTTTCGGGGGAGGATGACCCGCCAATCACTGCGACTGAATCGCACAAGTCGGTGAGTACAGTCTAGTTCGCTGCGTTGGCGCGGCGCCAAGCCCGTCCCCCAACAGCTGTTGAAAAGAGCAAGCGACAAATCTGCATCGTATCTTTGTATCAGTCGCTTTCCACCAGTTGTTGTCGCTTACCCGCGTCCTCAACTGGTGGAGGTGGGTTTGGCGCCGCGTCAAACTCTTGCCGCCTGACGCGCCCCTCCCTCCGCAACGTTCTATCCTGTACAGACCGCAGCTCTAGGAATGGAATTGCTTTGTTTGTACGCGTTGTTGTGGTCTGATAGTGCTTTGATATCGCTGTGATACAACTTCTGCGGTAACTGGTTTCTCATTCTAAGCGCGGAAAGCTGGTTGATGTTCAAAGCATGACGCCTTACACCATGATAGCGCTATGTGTGATGCCACTCACCTAACAAACTGCTCCTCATACCCTCGTTTTCTC